GTCAATTAGCAGACATAAAACAGAGATTAATGATCCATTTTGGTGTGGAATGCGAGTCTAATAATTTATTGCATGTCAAAGTGAGGATGACTGTTGTGGAATGCAAGTCTGCATGTCAAAGTGAGGAGTGTAGGTCTAATAATTTATGTCCTCAGTTTAATTTCAATTTTTATTAATTAGCTCCACTTTTGCTGATATCAATATCAATGCATGGTGTGTGGAAAGCATTTTAGAATGAGCTGTGATCTTACTTGCCATAAAAGCATCCACACAAGGGAGAAACCACATGTGTTCTTCAACATGAAGATTTATTGGAAAACTATTCCAATTGAAAAACCAGTCTTTCTGATACTGGAAAAAGTAATTTCATATGCATGTAGGCCTAAAAACATTTTTTGGGGCAGTTTTTCACAGCAATTCTTGTGGCAGAAGCCAAGAAAGTTAAACAGTGTGCCCTCCTTTTTCCGCCCATTTGTCCTCCTTTCCAATTGTCCGTGTCCTCCTTTCCCCATTCAGAGATCTGGTAATGCTCTCCACTTGTCAGAGAAGAAGCAAACTGCTGCCTTCTGCAGGCAATGTTTTTGGATCTCTGGAGCAGGCCAGGAGCCCCCTAGAGACCCTTCCCAAAAGCTAGGAAACAGCTCAGGAGAGGCTTTCTCCCACCCCAAGAGGAGGGTTTGCACTCCCCAAATGCCCGGGTGTTATTTTGTCCCCAACAACCCAAATGCGGGTTGTACAGGCATTGCGGGCAGATTCCAATAGAGGGCGCTTTCGTCATCCTGGCGGCATCTAGCTTCAATGTGGAAGTGGGCATACGTGAAATCCCTTTGCCAGGAGTTCTTCCGGGGACAGGAGGGAGATCTTTACAAGCGGAGCAGGAAGGGAGATTGCCTGCTTCCTTCATGCAGCTCTAGCAGGACCCTTTCTTCACTGAGGCTACAGCAGCGCAGGAAATTATTTTCCCTGGGAGAAACAGGCGCAGCTGCACCCCATCTGAAAGGGCCCCTGACCCCAGAATCTCTTCCAAAAACTAAGTCCAGCACAAAATGCAGGGAAACAAAGAAATCCCACAGAGACCATTGTATCAGTGCTCTGGACTGCTGTGCTCCTTCTGACTTTTTTGCCCTTCCATCTCCAATTGGGAGCGGAAAGCATTTTCTTTGGCAGCTAAAGTTGCACTTATGTAAGGACGGAAAGAGCCCATCCTGAAGACAATCGTGCCCCATGGATGCAAGTTGCTTTCAAAGCTAGGAGGTACTTTGGGGCTGTTGGGAGCTCATTAGAGCAGAGAGGAAAGATGGTCTCCCAAAACCCAGCAGGGGAAGGGAAGGGCCCCCATGTCATCCTGGCTGGCACTGGTGGGAATTTCCAGGAAAGAGCCAGTCTGCACATGCAAAACCACCCACTGAGGGAGTTGTGCTACGAGGGGGGACCCCGAGAACTTAGCAGCTTCCACCACCGCCTTTGCTGTCAGTGGCTGAGGCCCGAAGAGAACACAAAAGCTCAGATGCTGGACCTGGTGGTCCTGGAGCAGTTCCTGACCATCCTGCCCCCAGAGATGGAGAGCTGGATTCGAGAATGTGGAGCGGAGACCAGTTCCCAGGCAGTGTCCCTGGCGGAAGGCTTCCTCCTGAGTCAGGCGGAGGAGAGGAGGGAGGCAGAGCTGCAGGTGAGAGAATTTCCCAGAGATGATAGTGAGATGATAAATATTCTTGGAATCTTAAATATAATTTATCTTCCCCTCCTGGAAATCATTCCATGGCTTGGTCCAGATAATTGACCAGGAGTCTGAGAAGCACAGGCTTTGTTCCGGTTCCTTTCATGGCCATCTGGAGGTGAGATTTCAGTCCTTATTGTGTGCTGTCCTCTAACTCTGCTTTTTCTTTGCTCCTGGCTGGTGTTTCAGGTGAAGGGGCCCATCTTGGATGTGACCAGTCAAGGCCAGAGGAGATGTGTTCAGTGTCCCAAGGCCAGAGGAGATTTGTTCAGTGTCTCTCAGCAGCCATTCTGTGTGGGGATCTCCCAGGGCAATCCAAGTCAGGATTCTTCAACAGGTGAAGAATTGCTCCTTCTGATTGCTGAAATTCACAATGATTTTTGTTGATGATCCTTTATTTAAATAAAAGCGTAAGAATGTCTTTACGAATAATTTCACTGCGCCGTTGAGTGCTGATGCTTTAATAATGTCTTTTTATCTCCCTCAAAGCGAATAGGGTGATGTCCTTGGTAGTTGAAGAAACATCTCTTTGTGATGGAGCACAAACAACAGCTGTGCCTCTAAGTAAGGTAAGGGGAGTATTCCTCCCCTCTCTCCCTCCCCCCCAATTATATCTGATTTATACAAGAAGCTGCTCCTTCCAAAGTAGGTAGAAGCCTTATTCCAGACTTTGAGTAACACTGGGGGGATTTTTCCTTTATTAATAAAAAACAGGGAATGTAATTCATTCAGGGAACATTTAGTAGCAGTATCTCAGTCAGCTTCATTTGATTTGCTCTCATTCATCTTGTGGATCAGAGTGTGAGAGGCTTCCCTAGAATCTGATGGGAAGCTCATTCAGAGTTGCATGCAGTGTGTGAATTTCTCCCTGTAGCACCCCTCCCAACTTCTTCACGTAGGTGTTGAACGTAGGCAACATTGAGTGCATCAGCTGTAACATCTGATAAGTACCTTTTTAGGAAACTATGCCCCACCCCCACCGAGGGAAGGTTGGAGCCACAAAAAGAGCAAAGAATCCAGATTGTGGGTGCTAGTACTGAAGGCTTGGCAGAAACAGCAAAATTAATCAGAATTTGTGGTGAAAGGCTACGTCTGTAATTCATTCAGGGAACATTTTATGCAGTAGCAGTACCTCAGTCAGCTTCATTTGATTTGCTCTCATTCATCTTGTGGATCAGAGTGTGAGAGGCTTCCCTAGAATCTGATGGGAAGCTCATTCAGAGTTGCATGCAGTGTGTGAATTTCTCCCTGTAGCACCCCTCCCAACTTCTTCAAGTAGGTGTTGAACGTAGGCAGCATTGAGTGCATTAGCCATAACATCCAATAAGTACCTTTTCAGGAAAATATGCCCCACCCCCACCACCCAGGGAAAGTTGGAGCCACAAAAAGAGCAAAGAATCCAGATTCAGTGCACGGGTCTGCCTTTGAATTGATGAATTAAATCAGGTCCTCCAGGGCCCGTTTATCGAGAACATTTTCTTTTTTAGTGCCCCGTAACCTTTGAGGAGGTGGCCGTGTATTTCACTGAAGGGGAGTGGGTTCACTGCTGGATTGCTACCAAAAGGCCCTGCATGGGGAAGTCATGCTGGAGAACTCAAGGAACATGGTTTCTTCGGGTAAGGGCTCCTGTCAGGGCAGATTATTCATATTAGAAATATTCAGATTCTCTAGTTTTTTCCTAGAAATACTGAGAATTCCTTTCGTGGGTAGAAGCAGGCAACAGTCCATTTATCTAGAGCCCTGGGAAAGGCAATGCTGGCTGATACCCAATTCAGTTTTCATTGTTTTTCTATTTTTTAACTATGACCCACCCAGAGTAGTTCTTGGGTCAGGTGTCCTCCAAATCTCTAATGATATTTGTTTGTTTTACTCAACTTAGACGCCACCCCCTCCAATCAATTCTGGGCACTCACAGCATCAAAACAAAGTAAGTAATATACAATCAAAATTAGAGCATGTGAAAGTAGAAACATGGCAAATCCAGCCAACAACAACACATTTTTCATATACCCAAGACAGGGCTGCAACCACTGGGATTTGTGGAAATTCCTAACCAGATTTTACTTTTCAGTCTCATCCCAGTGTAGTCAGTGGTCCTGTTTTTTCTGTTGATTTCCTATCCAAGGACTTACCAGGTCTAACCCTGCGTAGCTTTTTGACATCAGCTGAGGTCAGCTCAATTCTGTTGCTTGTGATGATTGGTCTCCAAATCAGACAGTTCTAAAACAGGCCTGGACATATTTGTGGAGGGTCAGGCTATCCATTATTAATTTGGCTAGCTTTCAAATCACTGGGACCATCTCTTGGTAGCTTGACAATCACCAGGTGTATCCATAATATACCATCTTCCAAGAAGTGTTTTGGGAAGAGGGCTACTTCCTTCCTATCCATATGTGTGAATTTTATGAGCTATGTGATATTCCAGCTCTCCTTTCCAAATGTATCCTCACAAGGTTTTTGACTGCCAGTTTAGGTTGTATCACAGCTACCTTTGTAATAGCTAATCAGCTGAGGCTTCCTCTTTTGTTTAATACAATAATGCTGAAAACCTGTCTGGCAGAATTGGAGCAAAGGGTGATAAAGACGGCTCTTTTCTCCCACCTCTTTATTCCTGATTTGCTTTCCTCCCTCCATGCTGGATAATGCTGGTGAAAGTGCTCTGTTTTGGACTAACCTTGAATGCTGTATTTTCTCTGAGGTGTAATTATTACTTAATTATACTAAGCATGAATCTAGGATTAACACTCTGGACCATGGTTAAGATCACTCCAACCCTTCTACAATTACTAATTGCAATCAGTTTGCTCTTTTACCTAGCATTGCTTCAATCATGTTAATCTCTCCTCCCTCCTACAGACACCATTGCACATTATGAAATAGAAGGTATGGTCTAGTAAAGATAGAGTCACTTCAGACAAAGTCAGAATGAAAATATGACCTTAGTCTCATCAAAATATAAGCAGAGAAACTTCTTGGTTATAGCAAAAAAAAAAGGACATGTAACTTTTGTGGATTGATCCTTGTTCCTTTCTTATTCTGAGAGGATTTTCTTTCTTTTCACCCTAGGAGATGATGGGGAAGAGAATGAGAATTATACAGAATGTGGGATGATGTCATTACGAAGAGTCCAGCCTAAACTGAATGAGGAGGAATTTCAAAACCAGTTGAGATCAAAAAAGCAATCATACAGTACAGAGGAGAAGCCTTATAAATGCAAGGAATGTGGAAAGAGATTCAATAGGTATGGTCACCTTATTTCCCATGAAAGGATCCACACAGGAGAGAAGCCATATCAGTGCAATGAGTGTGGGAAGTCCTTCAGAAGAAGTGATGTTCTTATTTCCCACAAAAGGACCCACATGGTGGAGAAACCATATAAATGCATGGAGTGTGGAAAGTCCTTCCAGAGAAGCTATAGCCTTACTTCTCATAAAAGGATCCACTCAGGGGAGAAGCCATATCAATGCATGGAATGTGGAAAGACCTTCAGGAAGAGAGGTAATCTTATTTCCCACAAAAGAATTCACACTGGAGAGAAACCATACAAATGCATGGATTGTGGAAAGAGCTTTAGAATGAGCAGTTCCCTTAATTCCCACAACACAATCCATACTGGAGAGAAACCTTATAATTGCATGGAGTGTGGAAAAAGCTTCCATAAGATCAGTTCCCTTATTTCCCATAGAATGATCCACACAGAAGAGAAACCATATAAATGCATGGTGTGTGGAAAAAGTTTCTGTAAGATCTGTTCCCTTACTTCCCATAACAGGATCCACACAGGAGAGAGACCATATCAGTGCACAGACTGTGGAAAATCCTTCAGGAGGAGTGATATCCTTATTTCCCATAAAAGGACCCACATGGGGGAGAAACCCTATAAATGAATGGAGTGTGGAAAATCCTTCCAGAGAAGGTATAGCCTTACTTCCCATAAAAGGTTCCGCACGGGGAGAAGCCATATCAATGTGTGGAGTGTGGAAAGAGCTTCAATCACTCCAATAGCCTTACTTCCCATAAAAGGAGCCACACTAGGGAGAAACCATATCAATGTCTGGAGTGTGGAAAAAGCTTCAGAATGAACAGTCAACTTCTCGTAAAAGGATCTATGTGGGTGAGGAAATAGTCCATATAAATGCATGGACTATGGAAAGGAGGAGGGATAGTTTTACTCACCATAAGAGGATCCACATGGAAGAGAAATAATAAAAATGCAAGGAGTGTGGAAAGAATTTCAGTATGAACAGTTACCTTAGTTTCAATGAAAGGATCTTGTTCCATTCCTGGCTAAGATTTTTTTTTTTAATTAAAAAGGGTTCCTTCAATTTTGGAGTTTTTTGCTTCTTTTTAAAGTTCTTCCTTCTCCTTCTGAATTGTTTGTTCTTCACTGAGAGCTAAAGTCCTCTTCCTGGTTGTCTTTTCTTCCTTCTGCATCTCTAAAGTTAGAAGACTGTCTTGAAATTGGTAACATTCAGCTTCAGGTGATCTAGCTAGCACTCAGTTTCCTCTTTTCTTTGAGAGAATTCTGTTCCTCTTAAAATAGTTGTTTTTCCTGCCATTGGTTTATTAAATGTGGCTCATGTAGAGGCTTCCATTCTTGGCTGTAATCTCCCTTTGTGTCTTTGCTCCTTTCAAGGATTCCCTCTTTTCCCTTCCCTCCTGACCCATTCACTCTTTTTTCATATATTCCTTTTGGTATTTCAGTCTTATTCTCTCCACGATCAACCCATCTCAGAGAGCTTCTTTTGTATAGAGCAGTCACTTTTGTATTCAATCCAAATTATTTCATTCTTCATTTGTGCTTAACTTAATGTCTTCTTGCTTTATCAAACACAGAATACTAAAAGTGGGTTTGATAAAGCAAGAAGACATCGAGTTAAGAAGACGTTGAGTATGTCAGGAGAAACATAAAAAATGAATGCAGTAGAAATAGAATACTACAGTATTTCTATTGCATTCATTTTTTTTATGTTTCTCCTGACGTACAAACTCCTCTTTCCACCTTATGGGGTTTTTTTGTTTTTGTTTTTGAGAAACATCCATTTTTTGCAATATACCTCATCGCGCCCACTGTCTTTCTATCAGCCTTTCACATAGTAAAATGTCTCCATTTCTCTATCTTTAATAAACATTCTACAACAGGTCAAACATTTGCCTTGTTGCTTTGACTTTTTACCATGAATGTATTATCTTGTAATTCTTCACTCCGTTTTTCTTCTGAAACAAAACTATCTTGATATTCAATACATTAAAAAAAGGGGGGGGCATTAAGAAAAATGACAGAATTTTAAAGGCTCATACAGAATCAAGACCACCTATTAGGTGCATGCATAAACTCCAACTTAGGTGTAATAAGGGGAAAAGGCACCCTCAGGGTCAAGGACTGAGGTCCTTCAGCTCTGAGGTAACGGCGCCTGGGGGTGCACGGTGACTGGCCAATTAGGTCTTGCTGCCACCCCCCTTCCCTAGAAACCGGTTTCTCCCTCCACACCAGCCCTCTGGGGAACCAGGAGAGGTTGAAGGGGACACCCTCGCCCCACTTTGGGTCTGGCTAAAGACAAAAAAGGGAAACAAGAACAAAAACTTTGGGAATCTGTAGCTCAGCCCAGCTGACAGAAGGCAACAGGTCAGGATTGAAACAAAAAACAAATTTTACTAAGGGTACCAAAAGAAAATAAGGTTCCACACATACAACACAGAGTTTAAATAACAAAACAAAACAAAGCCCAACCCTAATACAATTTTAACTAAACTAAAAAACTTTCAACTTTGCCTGAGGTAACCCCCTCATCCAGCAGCCCCCCAACTCCCTCACAAAAGCTGCCCAAAACACTTCCCGCCAAAACCTGACAGAACCCCTTTGTTTTCTTTCATTGGCCTTCAGGGGTCAGGTGACTCCCTCTGGGCACATCTGGTTGGCTTATGATTTAAAGCCCAGCTGCCCACCCCCACAGGTGCTTTTGTAAAACTGTAATTTGTCCATTTACGTATCTAGTTTTGAGCAGTCCTGCAGAATGAAAATGCATTTGGAGGGGCGAGATCAAAATCATCCAGCGGAATATATTAAAAAAATGAGCCCTCGTTTTAATATTATTTTATATTAATATTTATTTAATATTATTGTGCAGCATTATCCCTGTCTGTTGAAGGATTACTGAAAATTAGTTATTGTGAGATAGCTACAGTGACCATACATCCTTTATTATAAAGGACAGCCATTTATTTCAGCTGTTCTTCAGATTTATTTAATTATTTATTTTCTTGGTTTTGCTCTTGAATTTTCCTTTGTAAAGCAAAGTTATAAACAATTAATTTTTTTTTTTTACCCTTATGAATCTCTTTCAGATTTGCCCCTTTTTCAGGTTTGTCCAAGAAAATATGGTCACTGTAATGATAGCCAGAAGAGAAGAAAGTACTGAATTGTTTGAAATTAATCAATCTGGTTATTATTATTAGGGTTTTTTTATCCTGCCTTTTTTATATATAACTTTTTTTATGTATAATGCAGAGAACATACCTAATACTCTTGCCTATTTTCCCCACAACAACAATCCTGCAAGGTGGGTTGGGCTGAGAGAGAGTGAGGTTGCTAGTAATCTCTCAGTATAGTTCTTTTATTCCATTATATCTCCATAGTATTCCATTATACTGTATATTTTTTATGATGAGACTGATGGTTTGAGAGGCTGGTCTCCAACATGCATGTCTCATCCTGAAGGGTGCAAATTTTGTTTTCTTCTGCCAGGTTTGCATGTCCCCTACATACTGGCACAAGATTTATCATTTTTGGTGCTAACCTGGCCCAATCCCAGCCAGCAGAAATTATGTCCCACTCTTTCCATGGTTCTGCCCATTGCCATGTGACCACTGAGATAGTCATGGGCAAGGCTCAAGATGATGCTTGTGTGGAACCACCAGCTGTCCACATGTCTTATAGCTTTCCTGGTAGCCTCCTGGGAGATAGTGTCTATAGAGCAGGTTTTCCTGTGGATGAATCTGGACTTCTTGCTTAGACCAAGGGAAATTTGTATATCTTGCCTCCTCTCACAACTGAGCTAAGCTGTGGTCCTCTTCTGGTTCTCTCTGGAACTCAGCTGCTGGGTACTCTTGACCATCTCCAGCACTTCCAGGGTGCCAAGCCCTTCCTGGGCCTCATCCCTTCTGCTGCTTCCCTTTATCTCGGATTCTGCAGCCTCTTGGGTGACCTCTGGGCTTGCTTGGCCTCCTTTCCCCTTGGGATCTTCTGTTTCTTCCTGGAGCCCACCTACAGGGGTGCTTGGTGCTGCCTCCCCTGGCACTCCCAGGGCCACAGGCTTTTCCAGGGTTGCCTTCCTTCACTGTCCCCTTTTCCCTGGGGCTCCACAGCTTCCTGGAGGACCTCTGGGCTTGTCTGGACCCTTTCCACCTCCCCATGATGCTCATGTTGGGCAAGAGTAACTCTGGTTCTGCCACTTCTTCTGCTCCACCTGGGGTCAGTTTAGTATTTACCAGTTCCAGTGGACTTCTCTCTCCATCTTTTCCACTGGGTTCTTTTTGAGGGTGGGGAGGGAATTCTAAGCTTTTGCATAATTTGGGGTACCTCCTTCCTCTGCTCTATCTCCACTATTTCAGGGTCTTTCTCTCCTGGTTGTAGGTCTTTCCATCTCTTCTGAGCTAAGTCTTCCTTGAGCAACATAGCACCTGGACAGTTATGCATGACTGCAAACCTCTCCTCCTCCTCTCCCTCCCATTCTTCCCACTGAATGGGTAGCCTGACTCTGTGGTACCCTCTAGTGTCTAATATTCCACTTCTGCCACCATGTAATAATAGAAAAGGTGCCCTCAAGGTTGAACCTACCCCTCCTCTGAGGTCCTTCAGTTCTGAGGACAGCCATGCCAACAGTTACTGGCCAATTACAGTGGGGCAAAAAAGTATTTAGTCAGCCACCAATTGTGCAAGTTCTCCCACTTAAAAAGATGAGAGAG